CTACCACTTGGTATCCAAAACTTTTGTCTTAATTCACACAGTGTGTGTCCAATTCCTGCATGGTAAAGCTCTTCATGCTTATGCTTGGTAATAAGTTTAGTAATGTGATTGCGATTTGGTAAATAAATAGGAAATTTACTTTCCATATCTAAATCTGCGTTTTCGAAACGACTTTTTTGATCGCCATAAGTTGTCAGTTTTATCGTAGTATAAATTCCAAGTGCTTATTTGTTGCTCGTTTATTTCGTCAGATTGTGCTTGCTTGATCAATATCCACTCCTCTTTATCATAATTAGGTTTGGTCATAGAATCTTTATCTGGCGATATCGATTGCAACCACGGTATTTTTCCTTTGAGACATAGCTTGATGAATTTCAGAGCCCATAAAGTGATTTTCAGTAATCTAGTCCATTTGCTAAAACGATTTGCATCTATGAAGTGAAAATTCTTTGATTGAATAATTCGTTTCATTTTTGTAATCGTTGCCATAATAACTATACTGAATTCATCTTCTCCTGCATAACTGAATCTCCATTGCGGCCATTTAGTTTTTGTCTCTGTTAGCCAATTTGGGCCTTTCCACCATGATTCACAATTTCGAAGTTTAGCTGGTGACATTCCTCTGGTTGCTACGTCTACGGGATTGTGCTCACTTGATATATATCGAAAGGTAAAGTTTGCCTTTCGAATTTCTTCAATCCTATTTTGAATAAATCGAGGAAGTAGTTTAGAATAATTTTTAACCCAAAATAAAGCACATTTTAAATCCGACCATAGGGTTGCCGGTGTATCTTTCAATTTTAATTGTTTTAATGCAAAATGTGCGGCTCTTACTCCAATTAATACTGATAGCAATTCGAGTCTTGGTATAGTTATGCCTTTAATTGGAGCTATCCGGGATTAGGCATATATTAGAAATGAAGTTCCTTTCATAGTTGCATTTCTTGTATTGAGGATATACACTGCAGCAGCGTATGCAAATTTAGATGCATCAGTAAATACGTGAATCTCCAATTGATTTGCAGGATTTATTATGAATCTCGGTAAGTCAATTATATTAGAGGACCATTTTCTTATCATCTTGTACCATTGCTGTTCATCTTCTTGGGTTAAGAGTTGATCCCAAGCTATGTTCTGCCTCCATAAATACTGGAGAAATAGTTTGAATGAAATCATCGATGGTGTCAGAAACCCTAATGGGTCATACTGCGAAGCGACGAATTGTAAAATAGTTCTCTTAGTGATTTGTTTTCCGGTCCATGGTTTTAGTGTTATACGAATGATATCTAAATCATGGATTCAATTCATTCCAAGAAAATCGTTCTTTATAACCTTGGTTTATCATAGTCTGCTATTCTTTCATTAAACTCTTCATCGTTAGAAATTCTCTGACATTTATTGCCGCTTCACTGAAGATAATTTTTGTTTCTTCATGTTTTATTAGTGCTTCTTCAATTCCATTTGCAGATAATGTGATATTGTCCACGTAGATATTCTTATCTCGGAGGCTGTTTTATTACCATAAGTTTCCAGATGATAGTTTAGTGTAGCCGATAATAAAAAGGGTAATGAGATGACTCCGAAGGGAACTCTTTTAAATCTATAACATTTTATGTTCTCTTTACTGACATCTTTGGTAATATCTTGTAACCAAAGAAATCTAGTAGAATCTCTATCCTCCGGATGTAACTCTATTTGTAAAAATGCCTTTTCAATATCGGTAATTATTACTATTTCCATCATTCGGAATCTTAGTAGTACTCCGACTAAATCGGTAGCAATACTGGGCCTCTATATAAGACTTCGTTCAAACTTTTCTTTCCATGAAGGTGTGCTGAAGCATCATACACTATTCTTAATTTCGTAGTATTTTTGTTAGGAGTTAATACTCCATGATGTGGTAAGTAGTGTATGACGCCCATCATTTCATTGGTGTCTGCGTCCTCGATTATATCCAGTTCCTGTTTTTCGATTATATTATTATATAGGCTAAGAATTGATTCTTGTTGCAATCACTTGACCAAATTTTTTAGATGTCCTAGACATAGTCCAAAGTTGTTACTCAACTTACCCTTCGATTCTTTCCATGGCCATCTTACTTGATATCTGTTATTATATTTCGCTATAGATTTCTTAAATTGCTTCAGTGCCTCTTCATCGTCATCGGCATTAGGTCCTTCTTGTATTCTCATGACTTCTAGTTTCCAGAAATTTTCTATTTCTGATCCTATGGTTAAAGTGGATATTGTGTTGGAAATATGTGTCGTACTTTTTTCACACAATTGGTTTATATCGCCACTTCCCGCAATCATTCGTCCAACCTTTGTGTGAAGTAGTGAGAATCCTGATTTTAGTGTTTCGATTCTTTCCAGTTCCACAAATTT